TACTTCTGCTGATGAAGAATGGCAGAATATAGTATCTAATTTGGAGCCTGGAAATGAGGTGGAAATTGAAGTCAAGTTTGCATACAAACATATTGTGATAAAGAAGACTGCAATCTATCTTTTACATGTTGAAGAAACTGACAAGCTGATCCCTCTAAATGGCATTAAATCATAAAGTTAAGGTACATTTGTTATCTTTTAGTTAACTGGGATTGTTATAAGATTCTTTCACTTAATTTTCAAATGTAGTATGACCTTTTTTTGTTTGAAGGGTACTGCTTCAAGCTCAAGGCGTCACTTAAATAAAACGCAAGTGTTCTCCTAAAAAGCAGAAAAGAAAAATGTAAGTGAAAAGTGATAGCTTTGAAGGTTTTCTTATTTATGTTTTTCATCATTTAAGTTATTTGTTGCAGAAAGCAAAGAAGCACACATATTGTCCTATTCCATCTCTTATATCATACATGATATAGTCTCTTTATCACTTTCATCCTGTGTTATGAATATCTATTTATATAGTATATGATAATTATCACGGTGCAATTACTGACTTTGCCTAGTCCCATGTTGCTGACCTGATATTAGAATGGCAATATTCTGGTGACCGATTTTGCTACCTCAAATGAAGCTCTTTGTTTGAAAATGTTTGAAGATGGCCATGTCAGAATTTTACACTGGTTTCTACTAAACAAATCCAGCCTTGAGCTCCTATGTGCCTCCAACGAAATTTGTTGAACGAGATGTATTCCAAGGTGAAAGACTATAGATCAGAAAAGACAATTAAGAAAATGACACAAAATTTTGATAATGAATTGCAAAAAAACACCATCATCTATATAATGTAGGTAGGATTCCAAATCGACAAAATGTCTGAGGTTTTTGAATATTTGTAATGGAAAAATATTGTTCAAATTTCTTTCTTTCTTTCTTTTTTTTTTTAAATTTCTTCCTGTTTTGTTGGTGACTTTTATGGTTAATTTATTGAAGCACCTTTTCAACAGCAAGAGGAGATTGTAGTCTTCGAGCAAGTTATGGCAGAAAAGGGATATGAGACTGGAGATGAAATTCCATTCGACGGATTGGGAATTTCAAAGCTAGCTAGAGCTATAATATTTCTCTAGGATCAAAATATTTTGCCCTGGGCAGTTCTCAAAAATTTCCATTATTAGTGAATGCTTTAGTAAGGTGGTCTTTGAGAATGAAGATGTTAGAGATTGCTTTAGTAAGATATTCTTCGGTGAGTTTCCACTACTAATTTTGGTTCTTAAAATTTAAAATTAAATTCAGGTGCTGATCTGAACTGGTCAAATAATTGTCTACTCAAATCCTAAAATCTTTACCCGCTGGTTTTCCTCCTTTGTTTTCTTCCACTATTGTTTCTTCTCCTGCACATTGAGGTCCTCGATCTATTTTATTTGCTTAATTAAATACTGCTCTAGAGTACGCAAAAGGCTACGTTGTTCTCTCTCTTCTTTTCTGGGTTACCATAAGATTCTTATATGCTCATCCCTGTTACTGATCACAGAGAAGATAATTTGTTAAATTCTGGAGTACATCTTCTGTAGGTGAATGATCTTTAAAGGAAAATCACAACCATAAATAAGAACTTGTTTCCCTGCCAGTTAAAGGACCAAGCATTTCAACAATGGAAGCTGAAAGTACAGCCTAAAATGAAGCATTTCCTCTGGTGTGCCTGTCACAATAGAGAACTGATGCTTTACTAGAAGGCCTGTACGTTCTCAATTGTGGCTCAGGTATGGAAAATTTTGAAATTATTTTCTTTTATGCTACTGGTTGAACTATACTTGGTGTAGTACTCAGCTAGGGATTGTCTTCTCCAATGTGCTGGTAGATTTAGAACTTACCTTGTTCTGCGCTTAATGATCTAAAGCAATTGACCCCATGTGGACTTTATGTGCAGCGAGTGATAGTTTGAACGATTTATTGATTAAGTGATTTGAAAACTATTTTATGATGAATTGAGAGTTATCTAACTTTTGGGGTTGACTTTGTTGTGAACAGTGATTTTTAAAGCATTTTCCTAGTTGTTCATCTTGTATTTGTATGATTTAGGTGACACTGAGCAGAGTGTACGGATGGAACCACATGATTTATGGTAGCTCAAGTCTGTGTTTCCTTTGTTGAACAACAAGGTATACCACAGGCCCTTAAACGCACAGCACTATACTGAACATTTCTTTATTGATTGATAATCAGAAAATTGTACACTTGGGCCAAAACTGAACCCAATATATATAGACGATGCGCAGCGTTCCATCCCTAAACTAATAACAGCTAAGCCTAAACTAATGGGCCACTAATGGGCTTACAAGAAAGTAAAGCAAATACAAATAAATTCACTGAATATTTCCAACACTCCCCCTCAAGTTAGGGGCTTGAAAATATCTATAGCTCCTAACTTGCTCAACAGATGCTTCTATACACTTCCTGCGACAGGTTTCGTTAGCAGATCCGCCTCTTGGTTGCTGCTTCTAACATGTTGTAAATCAATCATCCTTGATTCCTATTTTTCCCTAACAAAATTGCAATCTATCTCTATATGTTTTGTGAGCTCATGAAAAACAGGGTTGGCTACAATATGAATCGCAACCTTGCTATCACAATATATTCTCATAGGATCCACATAAACTATACCCAAATCTTTCAGTAAACTAACTACCCAAACCACCTCAGACGTTGCCATACTCAATGCTCTGTACTCAACTTCTGTAGAGGACTTTGAGACAGTGTGCTGCTTTTTAGTCTTCCACATCACAAGGGATCCTCCCAGCTTCAACAAATAGCCAGAAACAGACTTCCTTGTCATCGCACAGGATGCCCAATCTGAATCACAAAAGCACTCCAGCACCAGTTTTCCTTCTGAGCTGATGAAAACTCCCAATCCAGGAGTACCCTTCAAGTAGCGCAGAACATTTCTTCCTGCGGCCATGTGTGCTTTAGTTGGCATTTGCATAAACTGACTTAATGTCTACACAAAATAAGAGATGTCAGGCCGGGTCATTGTTAAATAGATTAACTTACCAACCAGATGCCTATATTTCTAGGGTTCTTTTAGCGAGTCTTCTTCACGATTTCTCCTTTCATCATAGGCCAACAGTTTCAAGCTTTGAGCCATTGGAACTCCCAGCGGCTTACAACCTATCATACCAGTTTCAAACAACAAATCCAATACATATTTCCTTTGTGACAGAACAATTCCTCTCCTAGACTTAGCTACTTCTATTCCAAGAAAGTATTTCATTAATCCTAAGTCCTTTATTTTAAAGTGACTACGCAGAAACTTAGTCTCAATAATTCCAGTTTCAGTGCTCCCAGTTATTAGCAAATCATCTACATATACTAAGATAAGAACAACACCATTAGTATCACGTTTAATGAAAAGAGAATAATCTGATTTACTTTGTGTAAAACCTCCTTTCTGTAGTGCCTCAGACAATTTTTGGTTCCATTGTCTTAAGGCTTGTTTTAAACCATAAAGAGATTTGTTCAATTTGCAAACCATTTGTTCCCCTTTTCTCTCAAACCCTTGAGGAATTTTCATATAAACTTCCTCATTCAAATCACCTTGTAAAAATGCATTATGAACATCCATTTGATAAATGTTCCACTTGTTAACAGCAGCCAACTTCATTACGACTCTAACTGTAAACATTTTCACAACAGGAGAAAAGGTTTCATGATAGTCAATGCCCTCCTTTTGGTTATATCCTTTGGCTACTAACCTAGCCTTAAATTTATCTATACTACCATCTGCTTTATGTTTGATTTTATATACCCACTTGCAACCAATTGCCCTCTTACCTTTAGGCAAGGGAACTACTGTCCAAGTTCTATTACTCTCTAGGGCTTTCATTTCAGCCTCCATGGCCTTTACCCAGTTCCTATTTTGGACAGCCTCCTCATAAGAAGATGGCTCACAGTTTGAGTCAATAGAAGAAAGGAAACACATATGATCAGCAGACAGATGTGCATATGAAAGATAATCATCAATAGGATATTTACAATTAGTCTTTACAAGACAATCAGAGTCATATTGCAGTAAAGAACAAATATAATCATTTGCCCAAATAGGTGGTCTTCTAGCACGTGCAGGCCTTTGTTTTTCAACATTTGTTTGGTTTCCACTCCTATTAAGATCATTATCTCTTTCAACATTCACCTCATCTGTTACAGGACTAGTACTATCATTATTTAATTCAGGTTCTGTAATTGCCTCAGGCCTTTGTTTTCCAATAAATTTCGATTCAAACCAGAACATTGACTTCATATCATTACTTAATCCTTCTTTAAAATTGTCTCTAACATCCTTAAAGGGAAACTTATCTTCAATGAAATGCACATGTCTACTCACAAAAATAGTATTTTCTTTTAAATCTAAGAGCAGATATCCTTTTTGATTATCTGGGTATCCTAGGAACACACTAGGAATTGATCTAGGCTGTAACTTATCGTTGGGCTTCAAATTAGTAGCATAAGCAAGAGATCCAAATGTTTTCAAGTCATTCAAGTCTGGTTTTGTTCCATAAATTCTCTCATAAGGAGTTTGGTAATCTATTATCTTTGAAGGAATCCTATTTATCAAGTGGGTTGCCATTTTAATGCATTCTCCCCAGTATCTAATGGGTATTCCTGACTGCAAGATAAGACTTTTGGTGATTTGCATAATGGTTCTATGCTTTCTTTCTACCACCCCGTTCTGTTCAGGTGTGTAGGGGCATGAAGTTTGATGAACTATCCCCTTCTGTTGAAAATAAACCCTCAACTGATTATTGGTAAACTCAGTCCCATTATCACTTCTAATCCTCTTCACATTCACAGAAAATTGGGTTGAAATGTAACATCAGTTATCTCCAACCTGTTACTAACCTTTTTAAACTCCAAATTTAATAACACTAACCATGGTAGAAAAGAATCTTAGTATAATATTTGAAAAGGCTACCATGGTTATAAAAAGAAATTTAATTCGCCAAGAATGTTAATCATGATAGAAAAGACCTGAACTAATTATTCAAAATGTCTATCATGATTATAAGAGTTTTACTAAGCAAATTATATGAATACCGTAACTAATAATATTTCACAATAACTGGGCCTTGGGCTTTGCAAAGCCCAGCACATCACAATTCATCTCTAAGCCCATAATATGATATTTTCAGAATAAAATTTGTCCAAACCAACAATAGTCAACTACTTTCAAAAGTTATTGTGGGTTCACAGCTTACAGACCCAAGCAACCCAGCAACAAAAGTAACTAAGACCATAAGTCTCGATTAAATCAGAGTATGCAAAAAGAGCTATATGTGGCAATATACAATACTCATCACATGACTAAAAGGAGGCTATACAAGATAAACTTGATAGCTAAGCCTTTGCTGCCTTCCCTGACGGACCAGCCCTAGAGCTATTATCTGAAAATGTTAAACCACGGGGTGAGACAAAAGCCTCAGTAACCAACAATCCTACTCAATAAGCATACAAGTAAGTGCTTGAGAGGTGTCAAGTGGAACAGTTACTAAAATCATAACATTCACAATTGTCACATGGTTATATATATATACATATACATATCAAAATGCAATGTCTCACTCTCAATTCCACCTTATTTCCTCACACCTTATTTCCTCTGACTAAACCCATGGGCTAGTACTGTCCCATGTGACTGGTAGTTCAACATAATAAGCTCACTGATCAAGTGATGTGAATAGGCCAAAATCCACAGAGCACAAGATCAGACCATGGGTTCCCCCTCTAGTCCACTAGCGGAGTGTCATACGCCCTACAACACATGATAGGGCCAAAGGATCAACCAGTGTACATCTGGCGTCCTCCCACCTTATTACCTCTATAATATGTACAAAAATTCACCCCCTTGTTCTCCCTATAACATGTCTCCCACCAATCAACGTTCACCGTCCCCTCTCGTATTTATACTCATGAGAATAGTCATTTACCAGTAACATAATAACTTTCACATTTACCAAAATCGAGATTTCGAAATTTCAATAATCAACATCAATCCTCAAACCATTTCTCAATAAATTCTTGTTCCACATGACAAATTTATAAATTCACAATTTCATACTATTTTTCAATAACAAAGTATCTCAAGGCAATTTCAACAATGCTGCCTTTCATTGTTCAAATAATAATTCAATGGCATTTCAAGAATCTCATATAATTCGAAATCACTCACAAACATCATACAAGCATACATAACAAGTGGAAAGTGGTTACCTTTCACCAAGGCTATAAAAAGAATTACTACAAAGTCAACCCCGTGCTCAAACCGACAATCCAATAATCAATCTACACCATTAATATAACCACAAATTAATATAAGCTAATTAATTAAGCTTATATATATTAGTTAAATTCCTAGTTTAATTTAATTATCATTCTAAATTCTCACAACTCTTATAATCCAAAATTAAGTACTTTAGAACTAATTGGTAATTTTCTAACAAGCCAAATTATTTATTTACATCCCTCAACTTATTTACTTTAATAAAAAGAATTTTCTAAAATTTCTAAATATGAAATTAGTATATTCTAAATTCTAAAAATCTCATTTGAAATTTAAACCTCAAAACCGAACCATCAAAAATTCAATAGTGTCTCAAATATTTATATATATAAATAATCTAATCAAAATTTTAATGGCATATATATATTTTCATAAATAATGAACTTTAACTACAATAGTTATTTTAAAACCTCCAGTCACCCAATAAACAAAACTAAACCGATTAAAGTCTCAATAATATATCAAACAACTCAAATAAATTATTTAACTTAATTTTAATCGTATAAATATAATATATCTCATAAATAACATTTTTTTAATTAAAAATTAATTTTTAAATACTAAAATTAACAAATAGACAAATCTAAACCGGTAGAAATGATCTACTGTAATAGATCTACAATACTATGGTTAACATTCATCAAAACTAAATACTTTCTCCAAACTCTATACCAAAAATTTCCTCTAAGCAACACAAAATTACTATTGTCAGGTAGATCTGACTGAGTAGAACAATTTTCATGAAGGAAGTTTTGTAATTAGAAGTAATTTTACTTACCAAAATGATCTGTAATGATGGAGAAAGAAACGGGAGGAAGAGAGCGACGTCAGAAGCCAGAACGCGGAGAGAGAGAAGAAGAAGAGAAAAGAAAGACGGGAAGGTAAAAAGAAAACACTCGGGGTAAACTGAAGTTAAAGACCCTAGGTAAATGGAGAAAATAACAGTTTGGGACCCTTTTATTTTTTTTCTAATTTTTAAATATTTAAATCCTTAGAGTAAAATTTAAGATGTTACAATTCTCCCCACCTAAGGAATTTTGTCCCCAAAATTCAAACAACCATGTACAAAAATCAAAACAGAAACAACTCAAGGTGCTTACTAAAGAAACAAGTAAGGGTACTGTGACGCATCCGCTTTTCAGTCTCCCAAGTGGCATTAATGGAACTCATACCCTTCCAAATGACCTTAACATAGCGGATAGTCTTGTTCCTCAATTGTTTATCCTTAACGTCTAAAATCTATTCTAGTTCCGTTTTATAGATCAATTTTCTCATAACTCAACCGTTTCAGCTCAATAACATGAGATGAATCCGGATAATACTTCTTCAATTGCGATACATGAAACATGTCATGTAACCTCGAAAGATGTGGGGGCAGCACAATTTGACATACAATATGTAACATCCACAGGTCCCGGAGTGCAGCTGTAGCCAACCCAAGGTGTCTTTCGTAGATATTTTCCGTTTTGGTCCAACTGTAGCCACTTAGAAAACGCATCTACGAGGAAGAGGTATTCACACTCTTATAAGGCATACTTTGTTGTCCTCTCTAGCCGATGTGGGATTTCACACTAGGTCTAATCCGTCCTAAAATCTCATAAGGACCTATGAAGCGGGATATAAGCTTCCTAACCTTAATGGATCTACCAACACCTATAATAGGTGAAACTTTCAAAAATACAGGATCATCCAATTCAATTTTTAAAGGTATCCTCCAATGATTTGCATTACTCTTCTAGCGACCTTAGGCTGTCAACAATTTCTACTTAATAAGCTCACTCTTTCTAGTTATAATGTTTACTAATTAAATCTGAGCAAATAATTATTCTTTCACTTAATTCAATCCAACAAAGGGGAAATCTATGCTTTTTCTTGTATAACACCTCATACGATGCCATCTAAATGCTAGCATAGTAGCTATTGTTATAGGCAAATTCTGCTAACAATAGGTGACTGTCCCAACTATCCTTCAACTCAATAGCAAAAGTTCTTAACATGTCTTCAAGGGTTTAAATCATCCTCTCATTTTGTCCATCTGTCTGAGATGGTAGGCAGTAGTTGTACTTTAACTTAGTATCCATGTCTCCATGTAAAAACCTCTAAAAGTTCGATGTAAATCTGATATCTCGATCAGATATGATGGATTCTAGCATTCCATGAAGTCGAACTATTTCATCAATGTACAATTATGTCAACTGCTCCCAAGAGTAGGTGGCTCTAAGGGTAAGAAGTGTACCAACTTAATCAATCTACCAACAATCACACATATTACGTTATATCCAGCTGGTGTCCTTGACAAACTAGTAATGAAATCTATGAAAATGCTATCCCACTTTCTTTGAGGAATATCTAAATTTTAAAGTAGTCCTGGAGACTTTTGGTGTTTTATCTTGACTTTCTATCAAGTCAAACATTACATCACAAATTTTGTCACAATTCTTTTCATCTTCTACAACTAATAGTTTCTTTTTAAATCATTATACATCTTCATTATTCCTAGATTCATTGAAAAGTTACTATGATAAAACTCTTTTTTTTTTAAAAAAAAAAAATGTCCTTCTTAATCTCATCATCATTAGGGATGCAAGTTATCTTTTTTTTCTTCTTGTTTTTTTTTTTTTTAAAGATTCATTTTTCTCCAATATCATTGTCTGGCACATCCCTATTTTCTCATACGTCTCAAATACTCAATAATCATTCACCTTCCATTTGTGCTACCTTCAAATCCTTAAAGAATTTATATTCGACTGCAAAGAATCTGATGTCTTAGGCACCACTTATAGATCTCTCAACTCTACCGAACAATAGAACTCCTCTAACCTCATATGAAACACATACACTGTCTTCCTACTCAATGCATCAGTAACCACGATTGCTTTACTTGAGTGACACTTTAAGTTCAAAGTCATAGTCTTAAAGGATTTTCATCTATCTATACTGTCGTTGTCCAACTTTTCTAGTCTACTTGATAGTGTAGACTTTCATTATCACTAAAGAACAGAAATTAAGTACCTGAAGGATAACATCTCTAAATTTTTAAGAAAACTCTATTAATACAAGATCAACCCTCATATCTCACAATCCATGATAACTCCAAATATTTAACTGTCAATCTAATTTTGATTCCTGAATCAAAAGATATAATAATTATTTCCTCTACTTAAATAGCCCATTAAATCCATGAGTCAACCTTAATAATAATCATTCCTAACAATCCCCCATTTACATTTAGAACTATTGACCTCGAGCATACCAAATCCCAAAATATTCGGTCAAACAAATATAAACTAATCCTTAAACCTTATTTCAAAATATTATATTACCAATCTCCATAAAGCTTTTCTTCTAACAACAAACTATAACTTCAAATCATCAAAAACCTAAATCATAACAAAACTAAATTGACTAAACATTTTATATAAGCCAAGTAACTAACTTAAATCCATCAAAATTTTCATACTCCAAGACTGCTCCAAATGTTGAAAGATATAACTTCAAATCATTATTCATAATATCACTAATCCTCAATTAACCTTAATCAAGAATAATATCTCTTAATTTTCACATGAATCTAAAATTTGAACCACCACTATATGCCTTATAATTAAACAAATTAGGATACTATAGTAATCAATACACAACCTCAAGCTATTATCTTTTTTTTTTTCTTCACAACAACACCTAAGAACCGGAAGGAAAAACACTAAGCGTGATAAACTGGTAGATTCTCACTCTCCCCTTTCAACATTTCCAACTTGGTTGGTAATATTTCACATAGAGGACCTTTGAGATATGCTTTATTCCTTATTCTATCTCAAAAGAGGACTCCACCTCATGTCCTAGAAGTACACTTAACATTTCATCTAAAATTACATCCATAAATCCATTCAAAATATCCATTTGGTCACTTTTCAAATTGTTGTTGTCAATACATAATCGTATGTTGCAATCATCTTTTCTTATTAACAATACCAGTGAACCCTGTGATGTAACACTCAGTTGAATGAATTCCTTCACCTCAATCTATTCAATAATAAACTCTTTATCCCTAAGTGACAGAGAAGAATGTCACGCGTGGTGGCAAATTCCTTAAATACTCTTACGAGTAGACAACCACAATACGAAACCTATAAAAACCTCCATAGACATAGTATAAAAGGAGATCACAAACCTCTTACAATCGAGGATGACATCACTAGCTAACAACTAATCCACGCCCATAATCACATTGACGCCATTAAGCGGCAAACAGAACAAATCAATCATACACAAATTAAACTTTTAGTACACTTAACAGATAAAAAGGAATACCTAGCATCCGCATCAACAAGATAAAGATATCATGTCTTTGGAGTGAGTTGTACCTTTAATCAGATTAAGGGATTCCTCAGCCTCCTCTTGTGTCATCTTAAGGACATGTCCTGAAACAAAAGAATGATTGCTCTGAGGGATCTGTCTAGCCTCTGGGCAATTACGGACGATGTGCCCTAGCTTGTGACATCGATAACACTCCAAGCATTGTCCTAAATGCATATTTCCACATTTCTGACAGGGTCTACCATCACTAGATTGGGACAAAGAAAAACAATGATATGGGTTCTGGCTTCCCCCAGCGTGACTCTTCTTAAGGTGCTTTCTCTGAAAGTAACCCCATCGTGCAGATTCTTTTAAGCTCTTATAGCGTTTCTGAGTCTGCTTCATCTGTAAGTAACCCAATCGTGTAGATTCTTTTAGATTCTTATGGCTCTTATGAGTTTGCTTCCTCTGTAAATAACCATGTCGGGCAAGTTCTTTTTGGCTCTCAGTACTATTCCTCCGCGAGCTTCCTAAGTTCTGATTTACCCTCTTACCAACTCCTCCAGTAGGCCCCACATGAGTAGAGTGTTGTCCCTGAGCATCTCTCCACTCAGCCTTTTTGGTACTTACACCATCATAACTAGTCAACCTTTCTAAGTTTTCAATGCTCACAACCTCGTGTCCATTTCTATTAGGGCTTCTATTATTGTTGTTTGCATCTTCTTCTTTCTTCCTAGCCTTGTCCTCTTCAAATTTTCTTATCCGTTCGTCCTCTACGGTAATCCTCATCTTTATCATTTGTGTCAAAGGAGTCTCTCCACTTTGATGTTGAGATTGTTCAAGTGAAGGTGATGCCTGATTTTCAATACGATCAATCCTTCCAGAGCTTACCATCTCTCCCTGCCTAAAGATACAAGCCACCATAAAAGGTAAGCACCGCAACACAAAACAAACACTGCAACTAACAAGGAAGGATATGTATGAACCTTGTATATTGCCACTACATGTAATGCAACACAAGTTACAGAATCTTAAGCTCTGATACCAAAATTGTAACATCAGTTATCTCCAACCTGTTACTAACCTTTTTAAACTCCAAATTTAATAACACTAACCATGGTAGAAAAGAATCTTAGTATAATATTTGAAAAGGCTACCATGGTTATAAAAAGAAATTTAATTCGCCAAGAATGTTAATCATGATAGAAAAGACCTGAACTAATTATTCAAAATGTCTATCATGATTATAAGAGTTTTACTAAGCAAATTATATGAATACCGTAACTAATAATATTTCACAATAACTGGGCCTTGGGCTTTGCAAAGCCCAACACATCACAATTCATCTCTAAGCCCATAATATGATATTTTCAGAATAAAATTTGTCCAAACCAACAGTAGTCAACTACTTTCAAAAGTTATTGTGGGTTCACAGCTTACAGACCCAAGCAACCCAGCAACAAAAGTAACTAAGACCATAAGTCTCGATTAAATCAGAGTATGCAAAAAGAGCTATATGTGGCAATATACAATACTCATCACATGACTAAAAGGAGGCTATACAAGATAAACTTGATAGCTAAGCCTTTGCTGCCTTCCCTGACGGACCAGCCCTAGAGCTATTATCTGAAAATGTTAAACCACGGGGTGAGACAAAAGCCTCAGTAACCAACAATCCTACTCAATAAGCATACAAGTAAGTGCTTGAGAGGTGTCAAGTGGAACAGTTACTAAAATCATAACATTCACAATTGTCACATGGTTATATATATATACATATACATATCAAAATGCAATGTCTCACTCTCAATTCCACCTTATTTCCTCACACCTTATTTCCTCTGACTGAACCCATGGGCTAGTACTGTCCCATGTGACTGGTAGTTCAACATAATAAGCTCACTGATCAAGTGATGTGAATAGGCCAAAATCCACAGAGCACAAGATCAGACCATGGGTTCCCCCTCTAGTCCACTAGCGGAGTGTCATACGCCCTACAACACATGATAGGGCCAAAGGATCAACCAGTGTACATCTGGCGTCCTCCCACCTTATTACCTCTATAATATGTACAAAAATTCACCCCCTTGTTCTCCCTATAACATGTCTCCCACCAATCAACGTTCACCGTCCCCTCTCGTATTTATACTCATGAGAATAGTCATTTACCAGTAACATAATAACTTTCACATTTACCAAAATCGAGATTTCGAAATTTCAATAATCAACATCAATCCTCAAACCATTTCTCAATAAATTCTTGTTCCACATGACAAATTTATAAATTCACAATTTCATACTATTTTTCAATAACAAAGTATCTCAAGGCAATTTCAACAATGATGCCTTTCATTGTTCAAATAATAATTCAATGGCATTTCAAGAATCTCATATAATTCGAAATCACTCACAAACATCATACAAGCATACATAACAAGTGGAAAGTGGTTACCTTTCACCAAGGCTATAAAAAGAATTACTACAAAGTCAACCCCGTGCTCAAACCGACAATCCAATAATCAATCTACACCATTAATATAACCACAAATTAATATAAGCTAATTAATTAAGCTTATATATATTAGTTAAATTCCTAGTTTAATTTAATTATCATTCTAAATTCTCACAACTCTTATAATCCAAAATTAAGTACTTTAGAACTAATTGGTAATTTTCTAACAAGCCAAATTATTTATTTACATCCCTCAACTTATTTACTTTAATAAAAAGAATTTTCTAAAATTTCTAAATATGAAATTAGTATATTCTAAATTCTAAAAATCTCATTTGAAATTTAAACCTCAAAACCGAACCATCAAAAATTCAATAGTGTCTCAAATATTTATATATATAAATAATCTAATCAAAATTTTAATGGCATATATATATTTTCATAAATAATGAACTTTAACTACAATAGTTATTTTAAAACCTCCAGTCACCCAATAAACAAAACTAAACCGATTAAAGTCTCAATAATATATCAAACAACTCAAATAAATTATTTAACTTAATTTTAATCGTATAAATATAATATATCTCATAAATAACATTTTTTTTAATTAAAAATTAATTTTTAAATACTAAAATTAACAAATAGACAAATCTAAACCGGTAGAAATGATCTACTGTAATAGATCTACAATACTATGGTTAACATTCATCAAAACTAAATACTTTCTCCAAACTCTATACCAAAAATTTCCTCTAAGCAACACAAAATTACTATTGTTAGGTAGATCTGACTGAGTAGAACAATTTTCATGAAGGAAGTTTTGTAATTAGAAGTAATTTTACTTACCAAAATGATCTGTAATGATGGAGAAAGAAACGGGAGGAAGAGAGCGACGTCAGAAGCCAGAACGCGGAGAGAGAGAAGAAGAAGAGAAAAGAAAGACGGGGAAGGTAAAAAGAAAACACTCGGGGTAAACTGAAGTTAAAGACCCTAGGTAAATGGAGAAAATAACAGTTTGGGACCCTTTTATTTTTTTTTCTAATTTTTAAATATTTAAATCCTTAGAGTAAAATTTAAGATGTTACATGAAACATATGCAATAAAGTTTCTGATATGTATTTCTGCCTCATTTTTATGTCTCATCAAAAAAATCCAAGTACCTCTGGAATAGTCATCCACTAAAGTTAAGAAGAATCGAAAACCTTGATGTGTGGGGTTCTTATAGGGCCCCCAAACATCTGCATGAATTAAATCAAAACTTTTCTGAGATTTAATAACACTTGAATTAAAAGGAAATTTAGTCTGTTTGGACTGAATACAGATTTCACAAGAATTGGAAACTTTATTCAAAATGGAAGTTTCAGTACATATTTGATCCAGATGTTTCATCACAGATATGGGGGCATGTCCTAATCTTCTATGCCATAGTTGAACATCACAATCTTTTCTCACGTCTCTATTCTGAACAACATTTGCTAAAATAGGGGTATTTGTCACTTTTAGTACATACAATCCCTTATATTCTTTACCAATCATCTTCATCCTCCTATCCTAAAGGCCCTGCAGTACACAGAGATCAGGAAAGAAGACAGTCATACAATTATGTTCCTTTGTAAACCTAGATATAGATATCAGGTTAAATTCTAGACGAGGAGCATAAAGAACATCATGAATAATAACGCTGTCAGCAATAGTAACTGAACCAATATGTGTGACAGACAACCTATCCCCATTAGGTATTTTAATTGCTTTAATCGGTCCATCATAATTTTTATATTCATCGAACAATTCTAATTTTCAAGCCATATGCATAGTTGCACCAAAATCTAAAATCCAATGTGTATAGGATTGAATGTTAGGTAAAGGATTGATCAAACCTGTACCAGTTAAAGCGTGTACCATAGACTCCATGTCTTTCTTCAACAACTCCAGAATCTTTTCATATTGCTCTTTTGTGAATGTCGGCGCCACTGTGGTTGCAGCATGACCTTGAGGGTCTGATTCTTTGTCAGCTCCCCCTTGCTGAAAGTCCCTTTGCTGCCTCCCCTTATTTCCTTTGAAATTTGCCGGATATCCGACTAACTGGAAACAATTATCCCAAAGATGCCCCTTTTTGTGGCAGTGGGTGCATTCGGGCATGATATCTCCCCTGCCTCTTCCTCGTCCGCGTCCCCTACCCCTAGCGGTCGTTGCCAATCCTTCGGTGGGAACATTTCTATCGGCAAACAAGCTACATCGTTGGGTCTCATCTTGCACGATCATTGCATAAGCCTCATTTACAAACGGAAGAGGACACATTAACAATATCTGACTCCTTGCCTGTGTGAAATTCTCGTTTAGGCCCATCAGAAACTGCAACAGTTTCTGTTCTTGAATGGCATCTGAATATGCCTTGGCCGCTGAACACGTACAGGAAGGAATTGCAACAAGAGCTGCCTACTCTTCCCAAAGTTCTTTCAACTTCGAAAAATACACGGTGACCGGATTTGTGCCTTGTCGAAGGGAGCTAATCTCCCTATGGAGTGCGAAGATGCGCGAGCCACTCTTTTTGTCGAAGCGTTCCTTCAGTTCGATCCATACGGCATGCGCGTCTTGAAAGTAGATGATTCCATTTGCCAATTCCTTGGAAATGGAATTAATCAGCTAGGAAAGCACGACCGTGTTGCACTGTTCCCACAGGGGTTGCAGGCGTTCTTCTTGATCGGCTTTCTTGCAAGAGCCGTCGACGAACCCTATTTTGTGCTTGCCTAGGAGCGTGATGGTCATTGCTCGCAACCAGACAGTATAATTCTCCATTCTGGTCAAGATGTGGGGAATAATGGCCGTCCCCTGTGTGTCGAACGGATGCAAGAACAGAGGATGTGAAAAAGAAATACCGTCAGTTGTGACCTTCTTGTCTCCCATTTGACCGGCCGTGTAGATCTCTAGTATGGAGTAGATTAGGTTACGTGAATGGGCTCGTTTGCTAACCCTAAGCAATGGCGCCTTCCTGCTCTGGTACCATGTTGAACAACAAGGTATACCACAGGCCCTTAAACGCACAGCACTATACTGAACATTTCTTTATTGATTGATAATCAGAAAATTGTACACTTGGGCCAAAACTGAACCCAATATATATAGACGATGCGCAGCGTTCCATCCCTAAACTAATAACAGCTAAGCCTAAACTAATGGGCCACTAATGGGCTTACAAGAAAGTAAAGCAAATACAAATAAATTCACTGAATATTTCCAACACCCTTCTAACACAAGTACTGTAGACGTGAAGTGGTCTCTTCTCTTGGCCTGTGAGCTCAAACTGAATACTGATGGAGCCTTTGGCTATAGTTATCTTAGTTTGTGAAGCTACGGCACTTGCTCTTAGGACTAAACCAAATAATTTAGTCTGTGATAAAGCTTTAGTTGAAAATGATTGTAGTTTTCTAGTTGATTTTGTGAAGGGTCATATTACAGTTTTTGAAAGGGAGGCCCGGGTTTTATCTTAGTTCATTATGTCCCAATATAGTAATTCGGCAGCAGATTGATCAGAAGAGAAGGCAAAGGGGATGTGAATTTTTGGATGAATGAACATGTCTGTTTTATGAAACAGTTAATCACGCGCTATTCTATCAGCTTGCACAATAATGGAGTTTAATTCATAGTGCTTGTCTTTGATTAGAAATCATGTTCATGTGAATCTGTTTGGACGGGGAGAAAAGTTGAGAGGGGAAAAAAATGTAAGGGTAGAAAATGGTGAGAGAAAAAAATTAGAGAAATAATGTTATCACTACTTGTAGTTTGATTGATAGGATAAAAATGCCACAAGGATAATAACATCTTTACAACAGGATATATTATGTTTCGTGTTGTTATCTCTGGCAAAATAAGTTAAAGGTAAAAATCATATTAAAATTTATACCATAACATAATTTAAAAACCGTGCACAAAAAATTTCTAAATTCAATTTATTTGTCATGAACATATTTTTCTACCTGAAAATCAAAATGGATAATTTTTAAAGTAAAATGAAATAATTTAAAATAATCAAATTAAATGCCATCTAAAGTTGTCAGTGAAAAAAGATGGGGATGAAAGAAAATTTGACCAAAAAAAAAAGAAAGAAAATGATAGTTCCTATCTATTATTTTCTCACCTAATTTTTTTTTTTAAATTTTCTCTTCTCGTCCACAAACGGGTAATATTGTTTTCTCTTCCTATTTTTTCTTCCTACGTTTTCTTCTGATTGCTAGGACTTCTAGCGTAACCTTCCAAAATTTCAGACTTTGCGAATGTGAATGGAGATATTTTTGCCAACTGATTTTTTTTTTTAAACGTCAACAAATGATCAAAATCCTCACTAGAAGTGTATGCCCCTTAATCATCATTATGTTCTTCAGTTCCTAAAGATCCATTCTCCTCCAAAAATTCCTAGAGCAATACGAGGCATGGAAATGGGCCTTTCAAACAAAGGGAAAG